TATGCATGAGGCACTACCTAAAATCCTGGTCAAACACTTTGCTCCTGACAGTCTGCTCCCCACCTTCCCAGGCCCTCCAGACTCCGCTGTAAGCCTTCCATGGATCCCTGTTCCATGATGATGAGCTGGACAGCTGAGCAGTTCAATAGCACTCCTCATCTTCAAAGCACTTTATAAACATTAATTAATCCACAGGACACCCACAAGAGACATCATAGCCTCACTTTACAGAGGAGTGTGCACAAGGAAGCTACCAGAATTGCCCCAGGAAACAGAGAACAGCCACGTGTTCCAGCCTCCCTGCAAGAATGAGGCAAGGATTTGTTTTTTTTAACACTGAAATTGCATATAAAGGATTTGATTTTTCTCAAATTCTCCATCTTCTATCAGCCTGACACTATTTTCCAGCTAATTCTTCACCAAAGTTCATGACCTTTCTTCCTTTTCCCCAAAGAACTACAATCACTACAACAACAATACATTTATATGAGTAGAACTTAATTCTTTTGCCAGCCCCTACCTCTGAGACTCCAGACACCATGACAACTCTGGGCTGGTGCTGATGAGAAGGAATAGATGAGTGGGCCATCAGAGGCTGGGAAGACGTCCTCTGCAGGTGTTCACAGGCACATTAGGGACGGCTGGAGGCAGCCTGGGTGAGAGAGCTGCTCAAATCATACCCACACAGTCTCTCAGCCACTGGTGTGGTCCTCAGCGTGGCTAATATAGAATAAAATGATGGGAAACAGGCAGGTTGATGATCACCTGAGATGGATGTGTATCCCCACAGCCGATGATGTTTTCCTGGTTCTTGGCTAGGACACTGAGTCTATAAGGGGTATGAAGAGGCTGAAATAAACCTTGGAAATACTTCTTGGATAACAGAAGTGAGCACCAAAAGGCAGATTCCATAACAACAGATGATTATGTTCTGCTTTCTATGAGGTTCAAGTGACTGGAGGCTTTTGCTTGGCTAAGTGAGGTAGGTATTTTGGGGCCAGAGCTGAATTGCCTAGAACAAAAAAAGACACTGAAATTGCATATGTAGCCTTAAATGTAGCCCTCACAGCTGTCTTTTACTTAAGTCCTGAATGTATACTTAAAAGACTTTCCATTTGAAGAGGTGTCAACTAATTAGCCTGCTGATATTTTGAGGGCACAATTTGGATCTTTTGGGGGAACAGCCTTTACTCATAGTGGCATAGAAAGTTTCAGAACACCTCCCCATTTGGGGGTTAGTCCACAAAATTTAATTTAATCCAACCTAATCGTATGGTATAGAAGAAAACCAAGAGGGCCTCTCTTGTAGTGCAAGGGGTTAAGACTATGAAGCTATCTGCAGCCACTGCAGCATGAGTTCGATCCCAGCAAGAGGTGACCCACATGGCGCAGCAGACCTCTCCTGACTTACCCGCTGCTCCCCTCAGCAGTGTATTTCAGTCAATCCATCTGTTCTGTTTCCTACTCTGTCTCTGGTGGTGAATCCTCTCACCTCCCCCACACCTCGGGCCGGTACCCCAGTTCTTGTATGCATAAATAAATCTTTAAAAAGAAGAAGACGAACAAGAAAGTGATAAGTGTTTAGTGGAAACGGTGGTGAGAGAAAGGTGGATAGAGAAGATAAAATGAAGAACAGCCCTATAGAATCACACCAGTTCCACGGAAGAGTCTAGGCAAGGCAGGTTAGGTAAAACCGAGATTAGTACATTCGTGAAGGAAAATGAGTGGTACACAGTAGAATGGCCTGAAACCCTCATTCACCACTCCAGTGGACCCTGCTCTAGTCAGTGCTAGATCACACTGGCATCTGGGAAATAATCCATCTCCTCCTGGAGTCAGACAAATCACTATCAACTCCAGGATTTCTACCACTGGGGAGAGAGAGGATCTTGCTACCCACCCCTTGTCAAATGACTCAGTCTGCAACAGAAGTGGGCACACTCCTCCTGGTACAGATGCTAAAACCAAAAAGGATGAGCTGACAATCCCAAAGGCTAGAAGTATGTGTAGAGGGGCCGGTTGGCCGCCTGACTCCTTAGGAGCAGAGAATCACCTGCCTCAGTAAGCCCAGATAGAGCTTCAACCATCCCTGCCTGGGCTCCAGGATCAGCCAGCCCTCAGTTTCTGCAAGAAACATATGGACAGGTTGGGGACAGAGTTATGGAGGCCACTTACCCTGATGAAATATTTTGGGGAAAACTCTGTGACAGAGGAACAGAGATGTCCTCTCTTTCGTGACATTCCAAGTCCTTGAATAAACTCAGATATATCCAGGTGATGCTTTAAAATCTTCCTCAGTGTTCTAGGGGATGATCTGGATTCCAGCTTATTACTTATCAGTTATATGACCTTGTCAATGATTTGTGCTTATGGAGCCTCTCTTTCTATAAAATAGGAGGTATGACTATCTCTTGCAGAGTTGTGAAATTTGGAGAGAATGAATGGAAAATGCCCAGCCTTTTTCATGAGATGCTATTATCATTATTAGCAGGAGCTGCTTAGGAGGAACCTGTCTCCCTGGGTCACACACACCTGTAAGAAATGCACATGCGCCCCCCCAATCCCCTCCCTGGGATTTGCCACCCCAGGATTGTGAGTCCTGTAAGCAAACAGCTTCCTGAGAGGCAGATGAACTTCCTCTGGGAGCCACAAAACCATGCTGCCAGGCAAATGACAGCCCGGGTATTTGTTTTAATTTAGGCTCTTGTCAAGAGGAAACTTCATGGCTAACAGCCCAAACATGACTGCACAGCACCTCCCCAGGAAGCCTCATTCTCTCAAATAAGCTGTTTTGAAGAGGGAGGCAGGGAGGCCTCATATTACTGCCAAGTCAGTGCCCCCCATTCCACTGCTCTGTCTAGGCTGCCCCAGGAGCCCAGAGGCCAGGGCAGCAAAAGGGTTGACTGCTCAGATCGCAGCCTGCCTGAGTCAGGGCTGGTTAACAGGCACCCCCAAAGAGACCCTGGGTCTAATTCCCTTTTCCAGTTCTGCCTTCCTCTGGTCAGAAATTTGCAATACAACCTCAGGCAATTTTGCTTCTCTGTTCCAGGAGAGCAAGGTACAGGAGGACTTAGGAAAATATGGAAATGATCAGGTAGGGTAGTTGTCTGAAGGGCAGGTTTCTATGTCTTGGGAACTAGGGTAACCGGTACTGGGTTTTGGCTGTTTAGCCAGAAATATTGAGGAACCTAAGTGGCATGTGAATATGAGGCATTGTATGACTGTTGTTTGTAGGAGCACAGCTAGGAAGAGGTCATTAATCCTTCCTTTGGGTCAGGAGCAGATCTGCAGCAGGGCTCTGAACAGATGTGTGCCCCCATTCACACAGACACACGTGCACACACATGCCACATAGCCTGGGCTCTGACCTTCACCCAATGATGCTGGCCTCTGCTGGGGAAGGAGCAGATGGAGTGGCTGGGCTTGGCGCAGGACATACACCCAGGGGATCCAGCTTTGCCCCTTTGATGTTGAAAAACCAAAGCAGAATGAACTATCACAAGGAGAGCTAATGGGGGGAGGGTTAGAAAGAAAAAAGAATGGAAGGGGAGGAGGGAGAGCAAGAAGGAGAAGAGGGTATAGGGAATTATGGGGACCCAAATTACGGGGATTCAAAGGAATACAGAGGTCAGAGGCTGGAATACTGAGGAGTACTGAGGAGCCTCCAGAATAATACCTTGGGGTTCAGGCATCATCCTTGTCCACTCTCCTCCTACCCATATGACTGTTATCAAGGAATCTGATCCTAAAAAATGTCCTGGCCCCATGGCATCCAGTGTTCAGAATCAGAACCTGCCTCTCCCAGCCCCTTCTCCCTGCCTCCCCCCAACCCCTGCCCCCTGCCACCCCATGCCCTGCCTCTGCACTCTTGGGCTAGAAGACACAGCAGGAGACAGGGACCTGACCTCCCTAAAGTGATCAGGAAGGGTGAAATTCACTATCTTCTTCAGGGGCCGGCAAGACCCTCTACCTACCAGGGGAAGGTGTCTCCAGGTAAGGGTGCGCATGTGTGCAGTGTTCCAGTCACCTAAGCTAGGTGGGGGTGGGGGGTGGGGGTAAGGGAGGGACGTTTACAGCTTGGCTAAAGCTCTCAGAACATACCAGTGATCAGTTACACATTCCCAGCAGCAGTGCAAGAGCAATCACATGATCGAGGCAGATTTGGGAGCGAGGGGGTGGAGAAGCCGAGAAGATTTGTTTTTTTCTTTTTTGGGGGGATGTGAAGGTGGGGGTGGTGATGAGACTGGCAGGAAAGCCTGCTGAGCCGGGGGTTTTCAACTCCTTCATGCAAATGGCCCCCAAGATTTGCACCTACAGCCTCTCTTCCCACCCGGCCCCCATCCCCACCCGAATACACAACGGCCTCAGGATGCCCCTGAGGAGGTAAACTCGGGCACCAAGGACTTTCCCAAAATGGCCTTTCTGCTTCAGCGTGGACAGAAGGAACAGCCAGCCGGGAGCGGAGGCAGCATCCTACCAGGGTCTTCTCCTCTTTTCCTGAGGGTTGGGGAGCGCTCGGTTACACAACAGGTGGGAGAGGGTGACACAGCTCTCCCGGCCAGGTTGGTCCACTGCCCACACCCCATCCGCCTGAAGTCCGCTCTGGGGACCCCACCTGCGGCGGCTGCCGGGAGTCCCTCGCCACTCCCCCGCCTCCCGGCCCGCGGGGCACCTGGCCGGTGAGGCTCGCGGCCCCCAGCCCGCTCCCGGCTCCCCAGCCCGGCCCTGCATTTCGCGCCCCGGGGCCGTCGGGGCGCCGCGCCGGGCGCCAGGACCCGCTCCCGCCCGGCTCGCGCGGCCCGAGCGCACACGTACTGCTGTAGAGAGTGTCGATCCAGGAGAGGCGCGGCAGGCCCCGGTGGCTGAGCGGCTCCATGCCCGCGGCTCCGCGCGGCGGCGGCTCCGTCAGATCGGAAACCCGACCCTCATCGCACAACAAAGGAGGGAGGGCGCGGGCGGCGGGCGGGCGGGCCGGCGGGGAGCCGGGAGGGGCGGCCAGCCCCGGAGGTCCAAGTTGCCCGGCGCGGGGTGGAGGCGGGGGCAAGCCGGGAAACAGGTAGCTGGGCGGAGCGAACCCGAACTGCCGCGGGCGCAGGGAAGGGCGGGCGAGGGCAGGCCAGCACCCCCGGGAGCCCTTCCGGCCACCGCGACCGCCGCGAGCCCTGCTGGGGATCCCGGAGCCGCGGCCCCGCAGCCGCCCGCCAACTAGCAACTTCCCGGGGGCTGAGCTGCGCCCAGGGGCGGGGGCCAGGGGGCGGGACCGCGACCAATCCGCGCCAGGCTCCCGTGCCCGCTCCCCCCGCCGCAGCACGCCTCCAGGCCGGGGGGGGGGGCGGGGGGGCGCAGTCGGGTCCCCACCGACGCCCGGGGGAGAGGGGCTCCAGCCAGCAATGGAGAAGAAGTGGTCCCGCAGGGGTCTCCCGGCTGCAGCGCAGACCCAGGCTCCTCTTCCTCCCCAGCTGAGCTCAGCAGAATTCTGGCAACCCGCAGACTAGGTGCTGTGGGAGACCTATGGGCCCGCCGGGGTGACATCACCTGCCACCCCAGGATCTCCAAGCGCAATTTCAGGGGCCGGTGCGGCTTGCAGGCCCCTCCCCTAGCCAAGCCGGGGGGCGGCGCTGACCGGGTTAATGTCCTGAGCGCCCAAGGCAAGTCTTGTCTTCCCGGGACTCTTCCAAGCCTTATTTGCTCCTTTTCTATTAACTATCCTTGACCTAAGAGTTGGGCAATCCCTGCCCTACACTGCAGGGGGCGGCGACTCGAGAAAGGTTGGGGGCTGGAAGTCGACTTGGGGCTGTGGAGGTAGAAAATCTTAGACCCGCCCATTTGGGGCGGGCGGACAAACTGAGGTACACATCTCCTTCAGTGGAGATCCGAGCGCAGCCAGAGGCATACCCTGTAAAATAATCACAGGTTGGGAGGAGTCTGAGGTCAAGATGCCTCAGAGAACACAATCTTTAGAAGCCAAGTTTCTCCTAAGACTCCCCCCTCCCCCAAAGAGCAGTGAAGAGGCTGGAGAAGGTATTACATCTGTCCCCTGGGAGATGGTTCTAGGCGACCCAAGGCAATTTTGCCACAGATTGGGTCCTCAGGGTTCTCAGGGTGCCAAAGGGCTCTGGAGAAGGAACTGGAAGGAAGGGGAGGAGAGTCAGCTAGGGTGGTCCAAGCCAAAGGCCTCAGCCACCTGAGCAGTGCCCAACCACTGAAACCTGCCTTGGGGCATTTATGCTGGTTTTACCTCAGATAGTGACCTTCTAATAATTGAGCAGACTAGCCCCATTCAACACCCTCACCCCCCTCAAGCCCCAAGCAGATTAAGGTCAAATTCTTCATGGGACCCAGCTCAACGAACAGATCTATAAGGTGAAGCTCACCCTGGCCTTTGTAGCAGGCAGTGTTGTCAGTATCCAGGCAGCATTTAAGGGGTCCTCATCATTCCAAACAAACACAGATCTAGTTCTTCTTAAAAGGAGAAGCAGCCCCTCATCCATGATGCTGAGAGGAAGCCTGCACCCAGCTGCTTGGGAAGCCTCCAGAGCTGCCCAAGAAGAAATGGTGACCACCAGTTCACAGCAGGTCAGGGGAAGACATTCTGGGTTGTGGAAAGTGCCCACATGTGACTGCAAAAGGCATGGTTTTCAGCCATGAGGTAACATTAGCCCCTTCCCAAGCTGGCTGGCTCTCCCCAACCCCAGCCCTTCTGGCTCAGGCTCTGCTCTGTCTCTTCCAGCCCCTCCCTGCTCTGCTGTCACCCTCCCACAGTCCCTGACTCGCACACAAGACGGGGAGGGCCAAGCAGGCACCTGGAGTTTAGCAGGGAGGGGAGTGCATCTCCAATGAGATGCTCCCAAAATAGAGCCGGGATGAGAGAGGGACCAAATAGGCTCTGGGAGGAGGGAGGACAGTGACAGTGGAGGAGCAGAATACGGTCCAGGGTTTCTCTTCTTTCCACATGGAACTCTGAGGCACAGAACCCAGAAGAAAGGTAGAAACAGGAACGTAGTACTGCCCCCTCCCCTCCACCACCACCACCACCATCACCAACGCGCCTGGGCCCTCTGCACACACAGGGATTTTTCTGACGGCCACATCCGGGCACTGACTCTGAGGAGGCCATGGATGTGTGTTTCTGCGTGAGTCACATACATTTGCATACATTTTACATTTTTATCTACAAAGGCTTGAACAAGCTATTTTCAGCATTTTTCAAGTTAAAATGTTACAGTTGCTCTCCTTAGCATCGCCATACTTTGCTTCTTCTACACTCTGTCCAATCCTGTCCCAAATCTCCCACTCCAGGAGATAATATAGGGTAGAGGGAGAGAGGAATCTTGGAGGCAATAAGGAGGAACACTGCTAATAACTAGCAGCAGGTGCCTACTGTGTGCCTGGCTTGGATGTTAGTGCTTTGTTTATAAGGATCATCTCACTGTTTTCTCAATTCTCCCCATTTTCCAGATGATCCAGAGCAGAAAAATAAGGTGCTCAGTAGTTAAGTAATTCACCTAGACAGTAAATGGGAGGCTGGGACTTGAACCCTCACAGTCTGCTCAGGTCCTTAGATGCCATGCGTGCTGCTTCTACTGCCACCAGACTGGTGAGAGTTGGGTGGCAATGGTCCCTGGAAATCTTTGCTGCTCCATGCAAAGAAACAGTTCCAGTCCTTTTCCATCTCCACATACCTGTCTCAGACATGTGTCCAGGGAAAGGACAGTCAATTTAAGATTCCCTTGATGCTTTACTGGATGGCTGCCAGGAGATGTTAACAGCACATGGCTTGACTTAACCTTGACTATACAGAAAAGTTTGTGAGCACCAGGGTGATTTAAGACTAGAACAGTAGCCTTCAGATTGCTGCTACTGAGGGTGGGGGAGACTGGACAAGACCCATTACCATTTCTTAGAAAGGAAGGAGTTAAACAGTCATTTTCATCTGCATTTTTTTAAGATTTATTTATTTATGCATACAAGAACTGAGGTATGTGCCAGAGTTGCGGGGGTGAGAGGATTCACCAGAGACAGAGTGGGGAGCAGAACAGGCAGATGTACTGAAATACACTGCTGAGGGGAGCAGCGGGCGAGGCAGGAGAGGTTTGCTGTGCCATATGGGTCAGCTCCCTGGCTGAGGATTGAACTTGTGCTGCAGTGGCTGCTAATAGCTTCATAGTCTGTGACTTATCCCCTTGTGCTACCAAGGAGGCCACCTCATCTGCATTTTGCAAAGATGAAGTGCTATGCCAGCAACCCCAATCTGTCAGAGCAGCAGGGACTGTGCTCTGTTCCTGTGGACAGACCACCTCCCTTCAGCTAAATGTTGAATCTGCCCCTCCACCCGAAAGGCACCCATCACATGGCATCCTCCAAGCCCACACTAACTATTCACTGTCCAGTTTTTGGGTGAACACTCTCCATCTTCCGCAGCCCTCCCTCTCACCGTGCACTCAGGCTGCCCTCAGCTCCCCATCTCACTGCTCATTTAAGCCTCACTGCTAATTTAAGCATTGGTTACACAGCCTAGAGCACTAGGCTGATGACAAGGGGCTGAGTGGGAAGAGAAGATCAGAACGCTTCCCTTAACTCCTAGGGGTGTCGACTCATTGCCTCTCCAACAATCAACTACTGCTTCCGCAGCCACTTGGTCAGGATGGAAAAAGGATGCTTAGACCCCAAGTTGGGCATCTCCACTTTCCTCCTAACTGTTAGCAACCCATGTCCACTGCACACATTAGGAAGGCCCCGGGAGTTCCTGCTTCCTTGATTACCCTGAGGCCACTGCTGGTGAGAAGCTGTCCATTCGCTTTCCTTATGCCAGTGTCAGGAAGGGAGCACTGCTGTGCAGAGGCTGGATGGACAGGGGGCCAGGGGATAGGACCTCCACATTCAGATTTTAAGAAACAAAGCAAGACAGACTGTGATAGCTGAGAAGCAAAGAGCTTGCACCCTCCTGGCAGATCAGTTCCTTAAAAGCCAGGACCGCATCTTTTCTCACTGGAATATACACAGCGCTGAGCCTGGTAGATGAACGATTCTCAGGTAGACCTCCAGCGCAGTCATAACCACAGTGTGCTTCCATATCTGCTTCCTGCCCCAAACCCAAGAGAGTGGCATTCAATAATACATGTTGAGTAAGAGAAATTAACAACAACTAACATTTATTGAGTGCTTCTTAAGTTGCAGGAGCTGCCCTATCTGTGGCACATAGATTACCTCACTAAATCCTCATAATCAGCCAGCCAGATAGGCACACATAGTCTCTCAGTTCACGGAAGCAGAAAGGCTAAGCCATTGGCCAGCTTGCAGGTAACGCCTGGACATGAATTGAGATACTGAGTCCAGAATCTACACGTGTAATCTCCGATTTGGGCACAATGAATGAACAAATGAATAAACAGTCAAGTTAAACTCAGGGAGGAAGAAATTGGAGCTACATGAGCAGTGCAAGGCAGTGTAATTCCAGAAACCCCCAGAGCCACCAATGATTAAACAAAAACAGAACTGTTTCCCGAAGAAAACCGCATCCACTACAACAGGGCAGATGACCCCGGAGACAAGCTGGACGAAATCTATCCAGTGACAGTCTCCTGGACTCCAGTGCCTGCCAAACCCCACTTCTTCTATGTTTCCGGCCAGTCTCCAGCCTCAGTTCTCACATCCTATAGCAGGTGGGCACCCAGGTGGATCAGGGAAATGACCTGCAGGCTTCCTGTCAGCCCACTTGGACTGTAAAACTTTGTTGCCTAGCACACCCTGGGTTAGCGTGTTTCCTGCCTCTCAGTTCCTTTCCTTTTCCTTAGTACAGCAAAGTGATACATACTGTTCTAAGATTTACCCTCAGCTCTTCGGGCTGGAAAGAAGAAAATTCTCTAAACCTCCACTGGGTCACCTCTGTGGGAGAAGCCTTGGCCTGTCCTTGGCCCTCTTCCTTCCTAAGTCTTCCCAGCCTCCCTGATTTTCCAGCAATGAGATCTGTACAGATTAATGTGAAGTCCCCCAACCAATTATTCATTTCTCTACTAAAGTTTTATGTGTGCTTGAGTCACAGGAAAGCGCTGCAATCCTGGCACCATACAAACTCATTTGTCCCCTTGTTGCCTCCCTTGACACTGTGACCAGGAAAAGGCTCCGTGACACCAGGTTCCTATCACCGTGAAGATCCCCACACATAACCACACATTTCCCAGGGATGTGCTGAAACCCCATTCCCAAGGCCAGGTGCTATGGTGATTCTAGCTAGCATCCCAATAAGAGCAGTTGCCTTAATTATACTAAGCAAGCTGCAATTTCAGGAAGGTCACATACCAAGCCCCAACTAAAGTGACTCTCACCGACTCTGGCTCAAATGACACCATCAGGGGTTAATAGAAGAGGCTTCTTCCACAGGTCAACAGTAGGACTGGGGCAGGGGGTGGTCTACAGAAGAAACTAGAGCCTACTCCTAATTTACTTACCACAGCAGCCCCATCAGCATTTGGAAAGAGGTCAGCAGAACAGACATAAAGATTCTGTAAGTCCCAAAACCCAGGAACAAAATTCAATGGCTCCAGTCCTACCAGCTCGCAGGGAAGCAGGAACCCGCAGCTGGGTCAGAGCTCACAGCCTGGCCTTCTGCCCTCCTGTGGTCACCATCCCCCGGAAGCTGAAGCTCGGTGTGCTCCTTGTTCTTTCAGTCAGAACTCTGCAGATGCATTCCAGACCTGTGTTGTTCTGCCAGGAACCCTTCTGCCAGCTGCCAGGGCTGGCCCCATCCCTATCAAGTCCAGGGGCGGCTGTCAAAGAGATGGACTTGAAGATGTGGTGGCTCAACATGCAGGGCAGCAACAACACAGGAGCATCAGAGCCTAGACAGTGGTTCTTGTCATCAGTGGAGTCTTGTTTCAGGATCACTGTTAAGTTTGCAGTGTCTCTTTGAGGACCAGGCCTCTTTAAAGGCAAGTTTCCTCTGCAGTCACTCCAGCCACCACTGGTCCTGCGGCAAAGTGGGTGCTCCCGAGTGCCACCTGGTGGCCTCACAGAGCAGCACGTAAGGCAGACCTGCCACCCTAGCCAGGTTCCAGTCAAGAGCCCTGGAAATGCCTGATTCTGCTTAGGAAAGCAGGTTATCATTGTGAGTAACAAGGCTAGAGAAGTTAGGAGGAATTCCATTTGGCATCAGGAGAACATCAGAAGCCCCCATGAGTGACCTGGGAAGAATAACAATCTCACTAGACAAAAGCTTCCTGAAGATATTCTTAAATGAGGGGATTCTCCCCTGTCTCCCTGCTTGTCAGCTACAGAAACTGGGAAAGAACAAAACATAGCTGCATATACCATGTCCCCCAAAACATTGGCACAGCGGTTCTCAGTTGGGGGAGAGGTAGTTTGTATTGCTTCACCAGGAAGTATTTGAAAATGTAGGAGCATTTTAAAGCATTTTAAACCACAACTTGGTTCCTTGGCAAGATCATACCCCATGTTTTCTTTCCTCATCATTCTTCCTTGAGGTCTTCCCTACATTTCACCTTTTTAACCTAACAGGTCACCAGGCCACCTTCACAAGAGATGCTAGTGACTCCTTCTCAAAAGCCGGGCACACATGTGCACTTGGCCTATATGGGGCAGTTGGACCCTTGAAAGGGAGGGGCAGACAGGTGGCAGCCCAACTCAGCCTAGCTGTTAGGAGCCAATAGATGTCTCTGCAAAGAAGCAAGTAGACCAGCCACACCCCGCCCCCAAAGGACCACCCTGCCTTCCTTCCCAAAAGATGACTCAGCCTAGCCTGTTCTGTCCCCAAACTGTCCCAACACATGCACCTTTTACATAAGGCACTTGAAGCCTCATGACTCCTAATTTCCCCTTCCCCTTCTCCAGTTCATTGCACCCTGAACTGGGCTGGGTAGCTCACTGTCATGAAGATGGTCCCATGCCAGGGTCTGACACAAAAACATGTGACATGTATTCTAAAGATGGGAGAATGGAAAAGAATGATGCTCTGGCTGTGTCGGCCGGTGAAAAGCTGCACAGTAGTCATGTCGGAGCTGGGTTTGTTGGCTTGAGTGGCCCCAGGCCCCCGAGAGTGACATCATAACTATCATGTCAAGTGGAAGGAAGTTTCCCAGCACCCACAGCAGCAGAGAGCACTTTCTAAAGGAAATCTGCACATCATTCCTTTCTTGCTCAGGCCCATCGATGGCTTCCCGTTGCTGTCAGAATAAAGACCTGTATCCTTTTGTGGCACAAAAGGCCCTGTGGCCTGGCTCCAGCACTTCCTCTCACCTTCCTCTCTCCTGGCACAGGGTCCTCCTTGCTCTCTCTGGCTTTTTAAAGAACTTTTGCACAGAATGATATCTCTAGGGAAAATGCTCAACATCCACTCTGCAGGGATATTCCTACCCATTTTTCTGGTCTTAACTTAAATACCACTTTTTCTAGCATGTTTTCCCTAACCACCTGACCAGGGAGACCTGCATTTCAGAGGCCTGAAATTACATGTTCTTGTAATTCATGTCGGGCCTGTCTTTCCTACTGGGCTGAGAGTTCTAACAAGGCAGGAGCTATCTCTTTCATTCACCTTCTATCCCAGCACTATAACCCCAACACCCTGAATGAATGAATGAATGAATGAATGAATGAATGAATGAAAGGCCAAATATTACTGGTCACAGAAACCTGGAACGAAGGAGTGAAGCTTTAGCCAGCTCAGCTCTACCAGCTAAATAAGAGCTGTCTGGGCTGGCTGGGATGTCATGTGGAGAATGGTCACACTTTCCAGAAAGACTCAGGAAAAACAACAGGATCTTAGAATCAGATTTGGAGCAAGAAAATTGCTGCTCCAATTAATTCTGTAACTGCTCACATGAAATCTCAACTAAAAACTCCCCAGTGCATAGGGCTCCAGTTCTGAGCAGCTGACATTTGATGCTGTACTCTTTTCTACCCAATCATACTGCAACAAGGAAATGGAATAGAAACCCAGAAAAGGTTCAGCCCAGTTAGAGAACTTTGGTCTCAATTCTGAGTCTTTCTCTAGGCCTGTCCCAAATTTGCAATTAAATTTGCTTTTAGAGGAAGTAGGCAAGCTGTAACTCTCCCCGGGGGAAAAAACAGTCTCTGGGTGTATGTTTCTCCTTTCTTTCCTCCTGTGTCTGGGGCAGATATTGGGAGTCTGAGAAAGAAGATGCTAATTTCTTGCAGCACTGTTTAACTTCCCTGTCCCAGTGGTTTGCGGGCTGAAGCTGTCACTGACTGGCTCCCAGTGATGACTTTGATGCCCCTCCAACCTCAGTGAGGGGAGAAGTAGGATGGAAACTGATTTTAGGCATCTTGTCCCTCACTCCTCCCCCTGGCAGGGACGTAGCCCAAGAGAATCTGCAGATTGCTCAACAGACAGACAGACAGATGGGAGCCTGGGCAGACTGTCTGTGGCTGTTGCTTACACTGAATGATGGTGACCACTGGGCAGGCTTGAGAGCCCTGGAGGACACTGCAGTAGACCTACTCAGACTGCTGGGCACCTATAAACAGGGAAGAAGATTCCTTTCAATTTCTCCTTCACTGAAATAAACAGACAAATAAAACAACCAATCTTCAGTCAGCATCTGGTTTGTTGAACACTGGGTCTGTGATGGTCCAGAAAACCACCTTAGGCCACTAGGGTCATTGATCCAGGCTGCCATCCTCTAAGCACCTGCCAGCTTCCTACCTGCTGCCTGGTGAGGATGCTCTGGCATCTTGCTCTCAGGGTTGTTCTCTCCCCTGAAATGAAGGGGCCTAGTTTGGGAGAGTTTGTCAATGAAAAGCAGAAGGATAATAATAATTATAGCGACAAAGTTTACATTGCACTTCCTGAGTCAGGACTGATTTGAGGAATGCACATGTATTAAATCATTGGGTTATCACAGTAACCCCCAACTGCTCCGGAATCCACGTCTTGGCCCCGTAACACTTCACTGCTTCTCTCCAACAGAAGGGAAAAAGCACTAAACTGAATATATCCTGAACCCAGGTCGTGACTCTGCCACTGAATAACTCTGTGACCTTGAGGAACTCCTTTTCCCTCTCTGGGCCTTGGTTTCCCTACACTGACATACAGAGAGGAAGGTCCTCCCATGTAGGATTGCTTGAGAGATGGAGCATGATGAAATAGTTGATAAGGGAGGAGGAAAACTTTCTCTTTTCAATTTCTCAGTTCCCTCAAATTTCAGGAAGTTCACTGGGGTTTGAGAGTTAGAAAAGATATTCATTAGTTCATCTGAATAGGGTTGCTTTGCTTGGAATTCTTAAGATAATGGATTTGGGTCAAGCCCAGCAATCACCAAGAGGCCAGCCAGTGCCTGGTGGTCCAGAGAGTGGTCTGGACAGTATGTCATGAAAGGAGACCACCCACTTAAGATTTCATAGCAAAATGGTGGGATGAGAGGCAGCATGTTCTTGGGGGTGGGGGTGGGGCTGGGAAGAGTCATAATTGCACAGTGGCAAAAAATGGGGATGAAGAGGGAAACTAGAGTGAATATCTGGAGAAATTTTTTTTGGGAAGTGGAGATTATATAGTCTGTGGCTACTATAGCATGCGGAACACAGCAGTATTTCCTGATTTTCTTAACCCCATCTCTCTAGAGAAGCCTTTCATGGACACCTACCCACCACCCCCCGCCCCAAATTACACTCACAGAGGTTCAAGAGCCACCTCCCCCACCCCGTGACTTGTGGGCAGAGTCATTCGGTCTGTCCTTTAAGCCACCTGGTCTATGGTATTTTGTTATAGCAACCTGAGCTGACTAACACACCCACCACACAACTGTGCACTTCCACCAGTCACCACACTGCAGGGAGCATGCTGGCAGACCAGGCTCTGCGCTGGCAAAGGAGCACAATGCCAGGGTGCTAGGCAACACTGGTACCTGACACTAATATGAACTCATCAGCAGAGCTCTTAAAGGCACTCTTCAGGGATGGCAGGGCAAAGCAGACACAGCACTGCACTTCCTCCCTCTTTCTCCTCCACTGAAGTCTGATGAGCTCTTGGGCCTTTCGGCTCTCAGGGCCTATACTTGGAGTGTCCCCAGTGCTAAGGGTGTTTTCCAGTGCAGCAGGAGTTATCCAGTCACTGGGGAATGTCTCTCATAAAAGCAGCCCCCCAGTTCCCCAGCCATGCATGGCCCAGGTTCTGCCAAGTATTGTAAGGAGCAGTTGAAGGACCTCTCGAGGAAATGCAGGAGAAAAATGGGGCATCAGTTCTACATTCTGCCTCCTCCAGATGTTCACATCTTTACTAATATGGCCCTAAAAAGGGGACCAGTACGCTCAGAACTTTCTCAAAAATTCTCCATGCTGACTATTGAGCTATATAGGCCCTGGGGACAGATAACGCCACACAGCAGGTATGAGATTCACTTTCCTAAGGAAGGACCCTGTACTTCTGAGAAGTCTTCCCACAGAACCTCAAAGGGCAAAGGCACTGGAGAATTTCAGTTCCCCTACAGAGCCACCTGGATAGCTGCAGGGCTATCTAATCTCTGAGGCATTTCTCCCACAAAGGCAGGCCCAGTCAATTAAGTATTGCAAGGGGCATTTAAAAAGAGACTCATTCCTATTCCAGAGCCTTCAAGAAACAGGGCGATCTCATGTTCTGGGGTGGCTGGGGGCTCGAGCTGCAGAAGCATCAGCTTCATGCTGAGTGCTTTCAAACTTCCGCCCTCGCCTACCCCTTCAGGGTGACCCTCAAGCCTAATTTCTAGTGTGACAGGTCACAGACAGGAAGACACTGTCCCTCTGCTTCCTGACCCCTTTGAAGTCTCAAGCTCTAGAGACCTCAGGTGAAACTGAACTGACTCGCTTTAACCCCCCTTCGCAGCCCAAAGTCTTCTAGACAACTCATTACCCATCCCTTACACGCCCACTCAGTTATTTTCCAGATTCCTATTTCTCTCTGACCATGCAAGTTTCTTTCCACCAGGAAGCCACATGCATGTCATATGAGGGAAGCCACAGGTCACCAGCAGAGGAGGAAGGAGTGCTGGGCAGAGTTCCCTATCCTGGACCTCAGAGTGTTGCTAGGGTGGGGAGTCCCGGGGGAGACGAGGGCAGGCCCAAATGAGAACATGACTTGGTTTTCCATTTCCCCAGAGTACAGTCCCCCTTGCAGGTAGCCCTGTGCATAGGCTCTGTGCCAGGCACCCAGAAGTACAAGACAGAAACCACTCTATAAAGCCTGGGAAGGACGGGGAGCCTCCTTAGCACCAGCTGGACCTGGGTCCTGGCCTGCCCTGCTCTGGGATCCCTGGCTCTTGGGGCAAATGAGCCCCCTCCTGACTGTCTGATCAAAACCATGCTAGAGGCTCTGAGACCGAAACCTTTGCTGCTCTGCACCTGGCTGGTTAGAGCCTCTTCTTGGGGGCATGTGGGGGGGTATTAGTAAGTTGTGTGCCCTTAGGGAGCTGAGCTGTTTTTTTCTTAGGTAAAAGGGCTGTTTCTGTAAGAGAGCGTATCTGCCTCCCACCACAGCTAACCACAGATGAGGAAGCAGCCACAGAGAAGCTCCGGCCCTAGGGCTCCTGGTTCCCTGCTGCTCTGTCTCGGGGACCACACATGGAGCTGCACACGCGAGCAGGCCACATTTCCTCCCAGGCCTACAAGGAACCTTGACTTCCTACAAAGACCACGAACCCCAACATGAGTATGCATGGGCACATCTACCCAAGACAGCAGTTTGCTGATTTCTAATGTGGCTTCACAACTAAAAGGAAGAGGTTCTGTCTTGCTGAGGAGAGCATGGCTGAGACACCAACAGAAGTTGACTTCCCATCTGGCCTGCCTGGTTCTGCAAGTAAAGGTGCATGGTTCCAAGGACAAGGCGCCCATTTCCATGCAGACCCTCCTTTTGAGAGAGCTGGTGGCAGTGTGGAAGCATCACTCAGGGGTGGGCAGGGTCATAGATACCTTGTTCTGGAAAACAAAAATTCTCTCTAGCACTGCAGGTGGGGGAAATATGAACTCAAGTTCCCTCTGTGAAGAACACCCAGGTTGTTGGCTTAGAACCCACATTGCATAGTGCTCTGTCACTTGCCTATTTGTGTGCATTTCACATGTCATCAAAAGATGCACGGAAGGGGCCTCCCTGGTGGTGCAAGGGGTTAGCACAGCACTATGAAGCTATCCACAGCCTCTGCAGCACGAGGTCAATCCCCAGTCAGGGAGCAACCCACATGGCACAGCAGACCTCTCCTGTCTCGCCCGCTGCTCCCCTCAGCAGTGTATTTTAGTAGATCCGACTGTTTTGCTCCCCACTTTGTCTCTGGTGAATCGTCTCACCCCCTGCACCTCTGACCTGTACCCCAGTTCTTGTACGCATAAATAAATCTTTTTTAAAAAAGATGCATGGAAGGTGTGAAGTACATAGGCTGTTTTTTTAAATATAAGTTTAATTTTGTTATTGTTATAAAAGTAAGATTCACCATAAAATTTTTTAGGTGATAAAAGAGTAGAGAATGATCTACAAATGTCCCCATTTTCTGGTATGCATATAATGGGGTCTTTACATAGTTACAATCAAAATAGCTCTCCAAATCCTGCCCTGGAACGTCTCAGCCGTTGCTCCTTGGCCAGTCCAGTCTTCATTCTCTCACTGTCATGTTATATCAAGCCGGGCAAGTTCTACCTAGAAGAGCTATGACCTCACCTTGCTCAGGTCCCCTTGGCCCCAGGCAGAGACATTGGCACTTCCCCACACCTTCAGCCCACAGGCACACCGCCTGGCAAGTCTAGGAGTACAAGTGGGGAGAGATGGCCTTCTACTTCTAACAAAACTGCCCAAGTGGACTCAGGTTTTATAAGCATTTCTGATTTCAGAAGTCCCCATGCTGCCAAGATAAAATCAAAGAAATACCCCCAAAGGCAGCAATTCCTGCCCCCATAGCAGGTGAGGCAATGTTCAGGTGACCTGCAACACTTAGACAACGAGGCTGAGGGCATAACTCCTCAGAGGATGCCCTAGCTGCTGCTAACTCTGGACACTACAGCCAGGAGCGTCAGTCCCCCGTGCATGCAGCAGCATCACCCATAGGTGCTCACAGCAGCAATAGCTTCATGGGGTCAGTTTCTAGGCTGCTGCTGTTCCGGATGCACAGTTTAATGGTTAAGGTCAGGATGTGGGTTCTGGAGACAGAATAGACCTAGGTTCAAGACCCGTGTGCTTAAGTAATCCGACCTCTCTAAGCCTCAGCTTCTTTCATTCTAAAATAAGAGCAGTAATGGTAACTGCCTCAACTGAGATGACTGAGAGGCTAGAACAAGACAATGGACATAAGGCACCAGCACAGTGTCTGCTCCACACACACACTGAGGCAATGTTAGCTATTATCACTGTGTTGGTTGAGGTTTAACACATGCACACACACATGCACACATATTCTACACTTCTCTCCTGAGGGTAAAAAGCAAGGTAAAAAGTGAGACAGCTCTCCTCTCTCCACATAAAAGAGAACACAGAAGGCCTAGTAAACAGATACTGTAAATAATGCT